GTCACTGAGGATCTGGTTTTTTTTTCCCTATCATCGTTCTTTTTTGTGGAATGTATAATTTGTTATATTATTGCCCTTAAGTTTACTGAGGATTTTTTTTTCTCATGTCCAATCTGATAAGACAATTTACTGAATTGTTCATTTTTAATATTGTAGTTTCAAGTGGGAGGATTATTTTTGTTTACATTTTTGTGCTGAGATTTCTATCTGTTTCTCACTGTTGCTGTATTTTTCTCTAAGTCTTTGAACATGTGATGTCATAACTGATTTAAAGTTCTTACCTTCTATTTATAAAGGCTGTGTCATCCAAAGACATTCTCTGTAATTTGTGTTGCATTTTCCTATTCTTCATATGTATAGTAACTTTCTTATTATATACTAGTCTTTTGGGGCTGATATGTTGTAGAGATTCTAGTTTCTACTATGTTCTTCTAAAGGATATGGATTATTTTCATAGCAGGCAATTATGTTATGAGCTGGTTTTCTTGATCTTGCAAAGGTTACTTTTACATATATGGTACATCTATCTTAGGGGGAAAGCTGAATATCAACACATAGTCTTTACCTGACTTTTCTGGGATTTTAATAGAAAGACTGATATATTTGCCAAGAACTTCTGGCTTAGCGACCTTAGCTCCAAACTCTGTTTCCCTGTGTGGGTGGTAGCTAAACTCTATGTCAAGTCTTAGGCTTTCCAGCTGTTGCTTTCTGCTGAGTTATGTGAAATTTCTCACACATATGCAGTTTAGGAATCATCCAAGGGAGTCATTATATTTTACCCACAAATTTGAGGTCCTCACCACTGTATGGCCTTCTCCTTTCTGAGATTTCCCCCCTTGATTTTCTGCTTTTGTTCTAGCTAGCCTACGTCTCTCCATCTGGGAAGTGCTCTCAGAGGAAGTATTATGTAAAAATAGAGCTCACTCAGTTTAAGGTCAAATTCCCTTCATTTTCTACTTTCTTTTTGTCACTCTCAAGTACAACTAGTTTATTATGTATTTTTCTGAGAGTTTATAATTGTGACAAAAGTAAGGATTAACAAAATACAAGTTTTAAAATATCATTACTAATACCAGACCTTCTTATAATCTATGCTTTATTTCAAAGTTGTGATATCATTATGTCCTCAACCTTAATATTTGACCCACACAGGTCAAAGCAGGTTGAAAAAAAATCAATATTGAAAAATTTATTTATTAAATTACTAAATTATTTTTTTATATTTTTTAGAATATGCCTAAAGAACATTGACACTTTTATTTGTCTCTCTCTAGTGACTCCAAACAAGTTGGAATTTTTACTTTAGGGGCAAAAAATAGTAGTTAATGAAGCGAGTTTGAAAGAAAAAAAGAGAAAGGGAGACAGTGACAGGATCAGTAGAGGGAAAAGGAATGGAGGAAAAATCAGACGGGTGAGAGAAGGCAAGGAGATTAAAAGAAAGAAAATGAGTGAAGAGACTTTGAGAATCATGTGGCTTTCCTTGATTGCTACAATATCTTACTTATTTTTCGAAATTATAGTTTATAATTTATTAAAATGTAGTATATGTTGAAATATATGGTTAGGAGCTATTAGAATAATCAAGGTTCATGTTTATGCATATAATTTTGTGCAGTTTTATCTGAAAAGATTGGAGTAAGATATAAGTCAGGCTCTGTCATTCAATGTAGTATCCTCTCTGTTTTACCTGTCTGTCAAAAAGCAGCTGGGTAGTATGAATTTCATATTGGTGAAAAGTAATACCATAAGGAACAGTAGAAGGCAATAGATATGAACACAAACTGCAGATTAACACATATTTTTTGCCATATGCATTATATACTATATATTCTTACAATTAAGTAAGCTAGAGAAAAAAATGTTACTGAGAAAATCATAATGAAGAGAAAATACATTTACAGTAAGGTCAGTTAGTTCAATTCAGTAAAAGAAATCTCTTCGGGATGCCTACCATATTCAGTACAGTGGATAACGTAGAAATAAAACATTGTCCTTATTCTTATGGAGCTTATGCTCAAGTCAAGAAGACTAAAGAGACTGGCCACATCTTGAAGTGTCATGAGACAGATAGGTAGGGACTCTCTAAAGAAAAGAGCTGGATCTCTATATTTAATGCCTAAAGAAAGTGAGACATTCCAGAATCTTAATCAGAAGCCTTGGAAGGCCTTGTCTTAAGAATAGGGGCAAAGGAGAAGAAGATTGAATCTTACTAAAACTTCAGCTGAATCTCAACCTAGCTCAAGCCCTGGTGAACTGGAGTCATCAGTTCCTCACCCTATCTGCTTAAGAAGGAAAAATGGGAACCTTATCTGATGGAAAATAACATTGTATGAAGTCTCTACAGTTCATTTATAGATGGTATCATGAAAATAAACAGGACTAGATATGCATAGAGTCAAGAAAATGCAATCAGTTATGAAAAGAAAAAGTAGACAAACAGACATGCATGATTTGGATCCTGCAGTTAACAGACAAGAACATTAAAATTACTATCAAGGGAGATCAATGAAATAGAGAATTGAAATGTAATTCTAAATATTTTAAAATCAAATTGACATTTCAGACCTGAAAAATATAATATTAAAAAAAAGAAGTCTTTGATGGGTGAATTTAAGAACAGATTGGCCACAGCAGAACATGAGAGAAGTGAACTGTAATGCAGATCTGTGGAAAGCATCCGGATAGAAGCACCAAGAGGAAAAAGAAGAGATACAACACATAAAAGCAGAAGAGACATAGAAAACACACAAAAAATCTAGCTTATATATAAGTGAAATCCCAGAAAGAACAAAGAGCAAGAATGCCCATCACTAATAATATAATTAAATTAATTGTATTTATTAAATACAAATATTTAGTAATATAAATTAAAATAAATAAATATTTATTAAATATAAATATTTATTAATATAAATTTAAATAAATAAATAAATAAATCATGATTTATTCATCCAATGGCAAGCTATACAGCAATGAGAATAAAAAACCTACAACTACCTGCAAACTTATACACGAATGTCACAAACATAAGGTTGAGTTTAAATAAAAAGCAGGCAGAAATGAATGCATGTGGTATATTTCAATTTATATACAAATTACAAGAACAGGTAAAACTATTCTGTGAAAATTTAAGATTGGATAACCTTTGTGACATGGTAGAGACTGGACAAAAACACCATGTTGTACTTCTGGGTCTGCAACTGTTCTGTTTCTTGAGCTGGGTGCAGGTTACTTTCATGCATCCAGTTTTTGAAAATTCATTGAATTGTACTGTTATAATAAGTGCATTATCTTGTATGGATAGTATTCTTCAACAAAGCAAATTTTAAAAGCATTCATCAATTTATAGAAAGTACTGGTCTACCTCCTCACAATTCACTGTTGAGTTTCCTAAGACTTTATTAGCTATTAGTTATGTAACTTATTAGCAAAAGAGACTAGACCTCAAATCATCTGTGATATATAATGTAATATATAATGTAGATGGAGCACTCATGTGTGTGTGTGTGTGTGTGTGTGTGTGTGTGTGTGTGTATGTATTGAGAAAGAGAGAGATACCATCTACATTCTTTTATTTGCCTGGAAAATATATATGATAAAAGAAGGTGTCATTCACTGTGATGTACCATTTTAGTACAAGATAGAAAATATTTATGTGCTAATATGTTATAACTCAAGACATAGAATAAAACAACATGGCCTCATTTACATTTTTAAATATCTTCCTTGTAAAATGCTGTCACATATGATAGGACTTAATCATGTTGGCAGAGTTTGAGGTTGCTGTCCTGCCTTATGCATGGATTTAGAAGGCTGTAGTTTAAGCTAAATTAAGAATTTTTGATTCACAAATTAAATTAATGCTACATATAATGAATGTCTTAGTTTGAATGAAATATATGTCTTTATCTTAATTGGATATATGTCATACACCACCACAACCCTCTTTCTAGTAAAGTTGTGATTCTTAGCAAATGAGTTAAGGAATTCTATTTAAAGCATAGAAATACTTTCAAGGAAAGTGGAGTTTTCTCCAGATTCCTTAACCAAGAAACACATTTGGGGTTATACCATTTACTAAAAGTAGAATTCCTAGGAATTATATGGAAATAATAATTTGAAATACCATAGTGCTGTGGTTACCGTGATGTGCTTACAACAGGGGGTAAGTGAGTTAGTTAGGGAAGGAGGGAAGGAAGATTGCAAATAAAGCCATGTGCAACCATGATAGCCACTGGGGCAGTGGTTCTCTAACTTTAGCATGCAGCAGAACCGCTAGGAGGTCTTGTTTATCATATATTGCATGCCCCATCCCCAGAGTTTCTGTTTCCATAGTTCGATTGCTGGACCTCAGAATGTGCGCTTCTGTCAAGTTCCTGGGTGTTACTGATACTGCTGATCTGGGACCACGATTTGAGAACCACTACATTAGAGCTGCTTTAGCTTCTGCTGCCAATCTGCTATCATAAGTTTGGGTCTCTTTCTAACATTGCTTTTGATTTATTCCATAAGACAGAATCCACAAAGATTCAGGTGATTGGCTCAACCTGGATGCGTAAAGGGAATGCCAAAAAGGGAAAGGCCCTAATGAAACTCCCTCAGAAAATTTTTGTAGAAAGAATTTGCCCAGAATGAAAATTTTGACTATTAAATGATAATAATTACTTTCTAGAAAGTGGAGAGAAAAAGAACCCAGCCCAAAACATGATGCAACGAAGTATGTGTTCAAAACAATGGATTTCTTATTCTCTTAGCATATATTTAATACAACCCACTATTTAGGTGATTTCATTGGAATGGGTTGTGTTACCAATCAAGGCTCACAGATGTGCAGGTGTTCACCCTAGTTAATGGTTTGCCTGCATTAGATGTAAAACATCTGCTTTACAATAATACATGAATGTGAACCCTAAATTAAAATAAGAATGTGTATGTGTATATGTGTGTGTGTGTGTGTGTGTGTGTGTCAGTGTAATAATGTTTATTTCATTCATTTATAGGACTGCATCAAAACATGTAAACAAGGACCTTGGTAATCTGGAAGAAAATAAAAAGTTAGAAGAAAACAATCACAAAACAGAAGCCTAAGAGAGAAACTGTTCTAGTTATTGTCCAGGTGAGCAGACTGTGTGAGGTTTATGGAAATAATTCCCCTTGAAAGTATGAAAACTCCTAAGAAATGAAAGGGAAAGCTTTGACATTAAGATGCTTCATAATTGTAGCTTTTGAAACAGGAAGATAGTTTTTCAAAAACAACTTTGTTAACTCTGAAAGGTGTTCTCAGAAGAATGCAATCTCAACAGTTTCCCTATCTTCCAAACAATAATTATTGCCTGAATAATTAAAATCATTTTTGAGATTTTAACATTCAATTAGCATTTTGTATTCTAACGCCAAAAATGTTCCTGAGTGCAAATAAGCTTAATTTTATAAATTGATATTTTTATTTGATGAGAGCTGATTCTAATACTTTACATTTATATTTAAAAACAATTATGAGAATAATTTTAAAATATAAAATTTTAATCCAAGGATTTATGATACTTAAAAGTGTCAGAGTACTTATTCAGCCATTTCCCAAACCATTTCAATGAACAGGTGAACAAATTTATGTGTGTACTCACACATACAGATACACACACACACTTTTGCAGTTAGTGTGTATATTATATAGTATATGTGTATGTATATATGTACCTGTACAGGCACACATATGTATGTGTATAATGTACATACCAATGTCATATAAATTGAATATATTTATATATAATAACAATATGAGTGTGATTTTAAGACTAAGAGGTGTGTTTCCATGGCATTGCCACTTGCGATTGGAACTTTTATTTATGTTCTCATGAGCCAGCCCAACAGAGAAGCCATTTGGACAAATTATTTTGTGTATCCTTGAGAATAACTGTTACTGTAGCTTACTCATCTAAAGGTAAAATCCCCAAGAGCTATAATAGAACTTTGGTTCATAATAAGTAAACTACAAGTCGCAATTTGAGTAGGTTGCCAGAGTGAACCCCATAGAGAAGATATGGGGCATGGGAAAGAATTGTAATTGGAAGGATGCACACAGGAAAGAAAAATGGAGTATTTCAAATAAGGCATTTTTAAAATCTGCAAAACCAAGATCTGAAACTGGGTGAAAGAAGTAAGGACAGGGTTTCTTCCCCTATCTTGCCTTCCATTGGAAGCCAAGTAGGCAGCATTTTCACCTGTTGTTTGGGTTTCTTTTTCTCTAGGGTTTATTCCTCAATCTTTCATAAACATAGATTTTATGTTCTGTTTTCTTTAAAATTCGATAGAGTAAATCCTCAAGCAAAAATTGAGCTTGAAGACAAAGGCCCACAAAACCGTGTGATTTGAAGGAATAAGTGTATTCTTTAACCTGAAGAGAAACAGAATGAAATATTTTCCTGAAAAAAAAAACAACCTTATAATCTCCATGTGAATTAAGCAATTTTCATAAAAATAAACACTCTCAACAATTTCAAAAAATTATTTGTAGAAGGGCCACAGCAATGCCTGGGATTACAGATGGGTTCAGGGACAATGGAGTTTTATGAAAGGCTCCCATAATGTAATTCCTGCCACTGTTAGTACAAAGCATCTGTTGATGGTGAAAATTTATTGCTATGGTAACTTACTAAATTATGGTTTTTTTCATAATTTCAGAGAAAAAAAACTATATAGGCCAATCGAAGCATGAACGTGGATTGTATTTAAGACATATACAAAGACATTGACAGCAATTCATGGTTCAAGTACTAAGCAGTTCATTCTACCAAGCTGTCGCGGGATTTTAGAGAATTATCTCAAGTCAAACAATGAAATGAAATTACAAACAATAACAACAAGTTTTGGCAGCCATGATGATAGTTCATATGTTGTGTTTGGTTTGATTTTTTTTTTTTCTGTAAATGTCTGCACTGAGGATTTCCTTTTGGTTTGCCTCTTATGTAAATTTTTTACGTAGCTATTTTTATACACTGTAAGCTTTGTTCTGGGAGTTGCTGTTAATCTGATGTACAATGTAATGTTTTTATTTCAGTTGTTTATATGGATAATCTGAGCAGGTACATTTCTGACTGATTGCTATCAGTAATGCCCTCAAACTTTCTTACAAGCACCTAAATCCCAAAGGTGGCAGCTTGTGGAGACTGGGGACACACACATTGCCCTATGAAAAGTGTGATTTTTTATCACGAGATGGGGAGGCAGAGTCAGACTGATAAGCACCAGACGAGCTGATTCTGTGTATGGACCGCCAGCTGACTCTCAGAAGTAAACCACACACATATGGACACACATACATAATAATGGTACTTACTCCCAAACTGACAATTTTGCCTGTGCTGTAAAAAACAGTAACGGAATTTGGGTAGCACTTACCTTTAGAGACACCTGCTAGTAAATTATTTTTTGTCAGAGAAAAAAATGATAATAATCTGTGAGAGACAGTATGGAAAAAATCATGGATAACGTTTCCATTTTCATAAATCATGATGTAAATCACTGTAATTAAAAATTGGTGTGAAATCCTTTGGGTTATCCACTGCCTTAAAATTATACCTATTTCCTTTAAAAAATATATATATCAGTCAGAATTGGAGATTTTTAACAGTGGTCATTATCAAAGCTGTGTTATTTTCCACAGAATATAGAATATATATTTTTTTCGTGTGTGTTTTTGTTAACTACGCTAAGATATTGAATGCACCTTGAGATAATTTAGTGTTTTTAACTGGTACATAATTTATCAAGCAGTACATAAAAGTGTAATAATAAAATGTCTATGTATCTTTAGTTACATTTAAATTTGTAACTTTATAAACATGTTTTATGCTTGAGGAACTTTTTAGGGTGGTAGTATAAATGGGAACTTTTTGCAGTAGACTGGATATGAGCCAATAGCTACTTGTAACTAGACTTTTAAACTTTGTTCTTTCAAGTAGAAGCCTCGTTTCTGGGAGAATACTGCACAGCCATTCTCATCCCAGGATTTACATAACTTTATAGAAAAAAAAATGAACATCAGATTTCCAGGTATAGAACTGTGTTCTTTGGGAAGAAAAGGAAAACTGGTGTTTGTTTTTTTAGACTGATGGAATAAAACATTATGAAGGCAATGAAAAATAAATTAAAGATTAAAATCAGGTGGAGATTAAGAATAATATTTTGCCACTTCTGCATTATTTAGAAACACATGTTATTGTACATTTGTAAACCATTTACTGTCTGGGCAATAGTGACTCAGTTTAATAAAAGCTTCCTGTAGTGCATTGGTATGAATTAAATGCATAAAATATCCTATTAGACTCGATGTTGTGTAAAATACTACGGGGAAAAGAAAATATGTTATTTTTGCCTCTAAACTTTGATTTATTGAAGTTTTATTTGGCAGGAAAAAAAATTCAATCTTGGTCAATATTTAAACCAAAGTGAAAGGGGAGAAACCAAAGTTATTTGTTTTGCATGGCTAAGCCATTCTGTTATCTCTGTAAATACTGTGATTTCTTTTTTTTTCTTTTCTCTTTAGGATTTTGTTAAAGAAATTCTAAAATTTATAAACACCTGCTATCCACAATAAACCATGAACACTACAATGAAATCACTTCCATATAAATACTTTTGCTTTTATTCTTTTGGTGTAGGACAAAGGTTCAAAGTCTAACTCCTAAGATTTATTTGCAGAAAGAAGCAGTGACAATAGAGAGGGTTATACTACAATTATTTCTTGGCTTCCACTGGCTATGGTTAGCTAAGTCCAAAAACAGCTGTCAGAACCTAGAGAGCAGAACATTCAAAACTCAGAGGTCTGGACAGAAAGCAGAAAGTTTGCCAGGGAAAAGGGAACGCATTATTACTATTGAATCACTGTCTGGGTAGAAAAGGAAAGCTCATTTGTGTAATGGCAGAGATATGTACAGCAAGGCTAGGAAGGAAGACCATGCACAATCCTTAACCTCCGAGGCTGCGTCTCTCCAGGTTGACTCTTTGGCAACAGAAGGCAAGTTTGTCCAGTTCAAGCTTCACTTCTAATCTGTGATTACAGGAATTGTATGTGGAAATGGATTAACATACCGGTCTATGCCTAAAAGATAATAAAACTGAAATATGTCTTCACGTATCTCTCACAGCTGTCTGCCTTTTGTCTGAACGAGGATGCTTATGTATAGAAAGTAGTTGTCTTTATGAAAGAGTAGAAAACTCACTGTGACTCTCCATCTCTCTGGAGAGAAAATGCAGCCAAATGAAATTGTCCGTGCCTTTCTAGGATGTCATCTGGGCCACCTTAGCGAGTCCTAGATTTCACCTGTGATTGGTTCTATGATGTGTGTGCCTCTGTCTTCAGTGGTAAGATGATACTTATTGTGGGTGTTCCATGTGGCTGTCCTAGGAACTTAGTTAAGAGGACACCCTCCTATTTCTTCACTTCCACCATTCACAAGGCACCATTCAGTTCACCATTTGGAATTACCTAGGCATGAACTTTCATAGAAATGCTTTCCCTTCAAAATAAGGTAAGACCAGCTGTGTACCTCAGGGAAAGAAACTCATATTTATCGAGCCCATACTATGTGCTAAGACCGTCCACACATTATCTTATTTAATCCTTAAAAGTTATAAATAGTATTAAATATCCCCCATTAATAGCTGAAAACTAAGGTTTAGTGAGATTCCAAAGCTCCCAAGTGCATTTAGCTTCTAAGTCGGGGTAAGCTGGTACCCAGCCATCTTGACTCTAAGGGCCATCTTGCCCTGTCCTACTCTAGTTTCCAGATTTCTTTAATAAAGAAAGTCTCCTTTTCATAACATGTAAAATGGGGAAATATTAATTGACACATGAACTGGTTATACCATCTATAAAGGATTATTCTAAGATGTTCAAATTACATAATAGGCCAATATTATATAATTTTTCAACTGTATTTGGATGATTATATATTTTATTAAACATTAAATATATATACTTATATATGTATATGTTTAAAACACATGTGTTTAAAAATGTGATGTGACATATGTATGATACATTTTTAAACATACATATATTCTAACTTACACTAAGTGCCTATTGTGAGACAGGCACCATATTGATGTGTTATT